TCTGCAATCCTAACCTGCCAATAGCCTACCCTCAAATCAAGTTTTGTGAACCAGCATGCCTTGCTTAACCTGTCCATTAAATCTTGCACCAACGGAACCGGATATTTGTTCTTTATAGTTGCCTTATTCAGCGCCCGGTAGTCCACACACATTCTCATTGTTCCATCTTGTTTCTTTTGGAATAGAACAGGAGCACCATATGGAGCCTTAAACGGCTGAATCAATCCAGCATCTAGCAATTCATTCAATTGTTTGCGTAGTTCAACCAATTCTTTAGGAGCCATACGATAAGGAGCTTGTGCAGGGGCAACCGTACCAGGCAGCAACTCAATCTTGTGATCGATATCCCTCCTTGGTGGTAATTTCTTTTGTAATTCAGGTGGCATAACATCAGCATACTGTTTAAGTAATTCAGCGACACAATCAGGCACTTCCATCTTCACATCAGGTTTAATTTCGACCAAGGCAGCAAGTATGGTTTCATTACCCTTCTTCATCCCTTTGTCGATCGACATAGCAGACAACAACATTTCCTTGTCTTTCTTCTTCGCAACTTTATTAATGTTTCCAAACGGATGAACACCCTTCAGAAAACCAGCATCACTTCCACTCATTACCATCACTCCATCTAAGTGAGGAAACGGAACAAACTGGTATTTTCTTAGGGAATCAATCCCAAGTATAATTTCAAAGTCTCCAAGCGGCATCACCATAAAATTATGTTTTCCCACCCAACTTCCAGTTGACATAGACACACCATAAGCCATGCCCACAATGGCTTGTGCCTTAGCATTGACTGTCTTGACGTAGGAAGGGCTTTTAGACAACTTCAGCCCCAATTTTGTAGCAATCTTCACATCTACAAACGTGTGTATGGCTCCTGTATCAACCATTGCCATCACACATTGTTCCTTCACTTTCATTTCTATATGAATTAAGGAAGCATGAGGATTCGAAGTGCTAGAGATCTCTCCAACATTATTGATCCCCATAAAGTGATTGAAGGACAATCCCAATGGGTTTGCCATTGCAGCCACGATTTCTTCATCCTCCTCCCTTTGATTCACATTACCAGCAAGCAAAGCATTCACTTTTTCCCGGTTTGGACAAGATTTGGCCAAATAAGGACCACCACAAGTCCAACAGCCTTTAGAGTTTCCATCTTTACTCTTGGGTCTGTCTTTCCCATCCTTCATTTGTGCCTTTCCTTTATCGTTTGCATTCTCTTTATGACTATCCTTTCTCCATTCCCCTTTCTTTTCATTCTTTTTCTTATTTTTCGAAGTAGAAGGGACATCTGTCGAAGGACGAGTCGTCCGGAAATCTACCAACGAATCAGCAGCAGCAATTGCCCCAGGCAGATCTTTAACATTCTGTCTTCGTAGTTCGTTTTGAGCCCAGCCTTGCATGCCCGAAATGAAATTGTGAAGTTTATCCTCATCAGACATATTTTGTATGTCTAACATCACAGAGGTAAATTCTTTTATATATTCCCTCACTGAACCCGTCTGCCTTAACCTTTTCAATTTATCCCTTGCAAGCCAAGATGCATTGCTAGGAAGAAATTGATCGCGCATTTCTTTTATAAGCTTATCCCATGTATCAATTCTAGGACGACCAGCACTTACGTCGTCTGCATTACGAGTCCTCCACCAAAGTTTCGCATCACCCGACAAGTACATTGTGGTAATGTTTAACTTATCAGCGTCCGGCACCCTTACAGCGGTAAAGTACTGTTCCATGTCCCATATGAAATTTTCAAGTTCTTTAGAACTCCTTGCGCCACTGAAGGCTTTAGGATCTGGAATCTTAACCTTAGAGGATTCAACACGAGTCGAACTCAACGCAGCCACAACCCGACACAAAACGACGAGTTCTGCACGAAGGTTCTCATTTTCCTTCTGCAGTCCCTCTAGTTTTTGTGTAGTTGTAGCACGAAAGTCCAAGATTCCAGTGATGTGGTTATCAACATTTTGTCGATATCCACCAATTTCTCCCTGAACTTTCTCAGCGTCCACTCTCAACTCAATGATTTGTGTGAATAAATCCACAAACGTAGGGTCTGCCAGAACATCTTCAGTAAACCCGACGAAGGATTCAATTTTTCGTGCCAACTCCCATAGTTCTGCGTTTTTCACCATTGTTTAACCGTGCTCTGATACCAATTGAAAGAGGGTCGATTTATTTTTCTCGCACACCACTCTAGGCAGTCTTACAGCGTCTGTAATACTTCAGCCTACTTACACCCACAGAATTGACTAAGTATAGAAATACTTAAACAGCAATGTCAAACAATAAACAGGCAGCATTTACAGGACCAAGTCCCAACCTTTATTAATCGATAATTAATACAAAGGAAGGCTTCACAAATCATTCTAAGGCTAGAAAACTCTCTGTCCCTTGCCTTAGACGAATTTCCACCTTAAATCAAAATTCTGCACAATGGCAGTTACAAGCGGTTACATGCGGCGGTTACACATGACACCTGTCCGACACATGTCAGCCTAGGGTTCAAAACTAACTTTCCAACAGCTATATTTCCAACAGATATAATCTAATTCAAATTACATTCTTATCTACACGAAATACTAATATTCT